CACCTCATCACTGCTGAGGCTGGCTTTGAACTCATGATCCTCCTGCCTCAGCCTCCAAGCCACTAGGATCACAGGCATGGGCTACCATGTCTGGCTTAGAAATCCCATTTCTTATTTGAAGTACTTGAGATCTTCAGAACAACTGGAGTTATTCTGTAACATGCACACATTTTTATTTTACATTTTCTGCACAGTTTTCGAGCTAATGAACTGCATATTGTTTTGTCCTCCAAGAAAGTATATTCAAAACTTTTTCTCTTCTTTATGTTCACCGAGTAGAGATGCAGCTTCCRTGGGTCAATTTCAATTTTTCTCATATCCATACTCATTTGTTTCAAAAGCCCTTGGCCTAGAATAACACTCATGCTTTAACAGAAGCTTTGCAGTAGCTCACTATGGATGTTTTGCACAGGGGCGGATCTGAATAGATTTGTAGAGTAACACTGAGTATTTTCACATAAATTGAGTCCAAATTGTTGATCTTAATCTGAACATAAATGTAAAACATATTCCAGGTTATTTTTAGGTAATAAATTAGCAATATTATATCAACAAAATACCAACATTTCAGAACTTTTAAAACAGCAGGAGTCCCCAAAACCAGTATTGCAATGACTATTACTTATGGAGTATTATTTATAGACAAAGAACCGGGAAATTAAGCAACTTGCTTGAGGTCACCCAGATGGTAGTCATGTATCACTTAATGATGGGGACACATTCTGAGAAACACCTGTGAGCTGATTTTGTCACTGAACAAACAACATAAAGTACAYCTGCACAAACCTAGCCGGTGCCGTCAGTCACTCCACCCCAGGGAAGGGTTAAAGAGTGCATTAAATAAACCAGTGACACAATGGCTCATTGTCATCTGGGAGCTGCTGTGTAGTCTACATAACTGTGTGTGCTCTACTTTTGTAACCACCCAGGTCTGCTTACACCAGCATCACCACAAACATGTGAGCGATGAGTTTCGTCACAAAGTGGCAACTGCGGCAGGGTCACCAGCTGACAGGAGTCTTTCAGCTCTAATCTGATGGGATCATCTTCATGACATATGCTTGTGGCCCAGGTTGACAGGAACATCATTACATAGCACATGTCTACAGTAGGTGGCTTGGAGAGCATGAGAAACACCAACCCACAGGCTTGGACACACCAAAGGTTGTTCAGATACAGAGCTCTGAGCTGTTCCTTCCAAAGGCTCAAGGGCACAGGCAAGGGTAGAATATGTCCAGGGAGGGGTTAGGGAACAAATCAGGACCCACCCCCCTGAGGATAACCTCAGGAGGGGTTGGACATTCAACTTGGCCATGGGCGCAGATGCAATTATTGCTGAAAGCCCAGTCCTTGTCCCCAATGCCAATCCAATAATGAGGACATAGTTTTGAGAAAAAGGAAAAAGAAGGTTTATTGCTTTGCTAGCAAAGAAAAAACATAGGGGACACTCCTGTCCCAAAGGCTGTGATTCTGCCCATCCGCAGGAATAGGGAGCTTTTAGAGAGGTCATTCAGAGAAAATGAGATTTGGGAGGAGAGATCAGGGAGGAGAAGATCAGGAAAAAGATCAGAGAGGAGGTCAGGAAGAAGATAAGGGAAAAAAGATCAGGAAAGAGAAATTTAGGGAAAAGAAGATTGGGAAAAAGAAAAARACATGTCAGTTTCAAAGCCACAAGGGACACAAAGTATCAAGTGAGCCCCTGTCACACAATGTTTTGGAACTTTCTGGAGTTGCTGTCAATCCTCTGGATCCTGGGTAGGAGATGGGTTGTATGCAGGAGACCAAAGAGGGGAGTTCCACAGACAGGATGATCCAGGACTGTGCCTTGGGTGCTGGCTAGGTGGGAAGGGGGATAAGCCAAGAGGGGAGAGTGACCTATGGAAGGTCCCAACTCTGAGAAAACCCCAGCCTTCCTAGAAGCCTTCCCTTCTTTTCCATCATTAAGGACAAATGACCCCGTTCCCCCTCGGGAGGGAGGACAGCATGACTCCATCAACCTGGTTCCTGTCCTCCAAGGATGTCACCTTGGGCTGGGAAACTGGAATAAAAGAATTTTAAGGCCACGGGCTGGGACTGTGGCTCAGTGGTAGAGCACTTGTACAGCACCTGAGAGGCCCTGGGTTCAATCCTCAGCACCACATAAAAATAAATAAATAAAGGGCTGGGGATGTGGCTCAAGCGGTAATGCGCTCATCTGGCATGCGTGCGGCCCGGGTTCGAAC